ATCCGTAAATTGCATTTGGAGAGAGTTGAGAAAGGGAGAATTAATCTTCTTCTGTCATTCTTGTTCTTTGGGTGAAGTGAAACTGCAGCAAGAAAAAAGGGAGGGGGAAGGGGAAAGAACAAAAAGTGGTTTCTACTACTGAGCTTTAGTCGTGGTAGTTAAACAAATAATTTGACTGTCCGTGAATAATATCAGAAAATGGAGTCTTTTAACGGTTATTGTTGGCAGATGGGAAGCAAAAGTTAGTTTTATTATTAAAAAGTTTTGTTGTTACTATATTACCTGCAAATTCTCTCTTGGATTATATAGAATTTTTTGTGGTTTTTAAGTTTCTAATAAAATTTAATTGCTTATCAGATTGTCTTTTTTTCTCCGGTACTTGAGTGAAACTGTGACTTTTTTTTTATTATTCTTTTTTATTGGGTGGCTTTCAAAAAACCTTCTTTTTGTTTACGTTTACTGGAAATTCATATTTTTGTATTGAAGTTAGACTGATGCTTTTGTTGAGGTATTTTAGTTAAGTTTTTAGATATAAGCATTTAATTTCTATTCAATAAACTTGTATATACATATTCTTCTTTTTCTTGTCTCTAGCCATTAGGCAGTTAAAATGACTGTTAGAAATAACAAATTGCAAATTTTAGAGTATCAGTTTACTTCAGTTTTATTATTATTATTATTATTATTATTATTATTATTATTATTATATTATATTATTATTATTGTTTTTATTGTTATTATTGTTATTAATATCATTGGTATTATTAGTATTGGTGTTGTTATTATATTTTAAAATTTTGGATGGCTAGTTATGTCGTAACGATGCTGTTCAATGACAAACGGTTCGCCAGTACTTGATCTTTTATTGACTGCACTTAAACCTGGAGACCTAGGATGTTCATTTATGTATTTTTTCCACCGAGAAATGAACTTCTTGTAGTAATACCAGTGGATGCATATTTGCTTTAATTTTTTCTTCTATAGTCTACAGTTTAGGCAGAAAAATTTTTTTCATTGCAGTTTTGCTAATGACAGAGGAATTTTGGCTTGATCGTTTTATGCGAATAAGAAAAAAGTTTTTTTTTTGGTTAGATTTGTGCAGCTGTTATTTATTGTGAAAAATTTTTTTTTGGAAAGTCTGGTTATGTGAGATTGGTTTAAAATTCGTAGTGTAGTTGTTAACAGAATTTTAGAATTTGAATGTTTGATCTGTTGAAATTGTTACCTGCTTCTTTCTTCTTTTGTAATTTTTTCTTTGACGACTGGAATTTTTGCAAATGAAATGGGTTTTTTTTTTTT